GGGGGGCGCAGAGAAAGTCTGAAAACGACGCAGACAAAGGTCAAGAAACGACGAAATTTGGAAAAACACTTTGTTATTGAGCCAATCCCTCTCCCAGTCAGCATCCTCCTGTCACTTAGTAATGAGGGTTTTTTCCTCTTGGTTGGACCTCAACCCAACAACAATAAGATTACTTGTCCTATCAGTATGTACTGTTTTAGCGCCAATAAAATGGCTGCTTGCACTGTATTGTTCCCAGGAAGATGAGATTTTGTCAGAATGCTATCGGGTCTGTTGGGGTCATAAATATAGATTGAAAAGCGCATAGAGCTTGCTGTTGAGATGGGATTTGCGCTCTATAAAATCAAAATGTTATCTGTCATTATTACCTAGAGAGCTCTCGTATGTCAACAAGTGTATAGCCTATTTGATTAACCCCCTTTCTCTTTCTTTCTCGTGGATGGGTGTTTTAAACACCTATCGAAACACAATATTAATTTCGATCTTTCATGAGGCGGGTTTCGTTGACCATGCCTGTTACAGTCAACCTGGCCTGACAGGTATACAACGTCCCAACAGACCTACGAGAGAGAGGAACAGGTGCTGAAATAAAGTCCCGCATTGGAAAAACACAGGCTGCTTTCATATCTTTTGATAGGATTTGGAAGACTAGAGAGATATCTCACTTCGAACAAAGCAGAGGATTTTCAATTCAAATGTTGTATGGATGTGAGACATGGAACGCATCGCAGACTTGCATTAAGAGGATCCAGGTTTTCTTGCACAGGTGTCTAAGAAAGTTACTGAGGATCAGATGGACAGACAGGGTCACCAATGTGGAAGTGTTAAGGAAAACAAGACAGATCCCACTCAGAGATGAGGTAGGAAGAAGGCGGTGGCGACAGATTGGACATACTCTCAGGAAGTCAGACAGCTGCATAACAAAGAAAGTTTTGGATTGGAACCCACATGGTAAGAGATCAAGGGGAAGACCGCGTGAAACCTGGAGAAAAATCACAGAAATCGATGTACAGGGAAGTGGGAAGACATGAAATAACATCAATAGGCTAGCCCAGGATAGAGAAAGGTAGAAGGTGTTTGTCCGTGGCCTGTACCCTGGAACAGGGTGAGAAAGGCAATGATGATGATGATGAACAGACCTACGAACATTCTTGAAAAAACAGTCAACCCTATCTGAGAATAGAAGCCACGTCTTCCGAGAAAGACGTCAAAAAAAAGAGAAAAATACCCAGAGAACACTACTAATTAAAAAATCGATTCATTAAAGTCAGTCGGTGCCAGCCATATTTTCCTTCATTGAGGGGATTTCAATTAAATTTGACTCTGACTTTCGAAATCAAACACGTTTGTATTTCAAGGTCGGGAGTAGAAATCGTCCGTTCATGTCTTAGGCAAAAATTGGCAGCTTTTGCCCCCTTCCATGAAGGAAAATCTGATTGACTCCCGACTGAATCAAATTATTATGAATTAAACTGACCTTGAGCTCTGGATAATTGAAACTGTTTCTCAACTGTAGTCGGTGAGTAATCTTTGTTGTATCACAGGCTTACAAAAAAAATGGCTAAACGGTGCTAGGAAATACATTTATGATTGTGCGACAGTGTTAAATGCATAAGGTGCGGAGTTCATGCTCTATGCCAAAGAGTCTACATAACAAGAGGGGCCACTCCTCTCTTTGAGCCAATTAAAAAAGTGTCCGCAAAATTCGGTGACACACTCTTCGCAAATGCGCACCCTGTGCGAACAGTTACCCTACTTGAGTTTAAAAATTCAAAGTGAAACTAACAAGTTTTTGAATACATTTGGGAAGAACGCTTTTTTTTAATGGTTACGCTGACAAAAAAAACTCTTCCGGAGGAAAGGGTGATTGTTTTCTTCGTTTAATTTGACTTTAGAAGGAAAGGCGAGAGGTCGTTAAAAAAAAATTTTAACCCTAAAACTCCGCACTGGACGAACCCGAACTGCTGATGAACAGCAGTCGATCTGCTTACGCAAGGAGGTGCTATTCCTATTCTTCTTCTGGAAAAACGAAAGAGAGCTTCAAAACAGACTGCAGCGCCATCTGAAGCAAAGAGCGGACTTCCGGCGGACACTTTTTTGGCTGAGTGGACCATCTTGCTATGTACTATCTTTGTCTATGCGCATTAAAGACATAATTTTTGCAACGGTGTAGATCAGTGTAGAGAGTGCAGATGTCATGTCATTTTTTGTGTCCACTCGTAATTAGTGCAGCGGTGTAAATGTAGATAGTGCGAAATTTAAGAAGTATGCGCATGAAAGACATAAGTTATACAACAGTGTAGGGTGCAAAGAGTCCGGAAATGCATGTTGTATGCGCGTAAAGGACTTAATTTGTGCATCAATGAAGATCAGTGTAGAAACTGCGGATGGCATGTCATGCAGTGTGCGTATGAAAGACAGGATTAAAATTTGTGCAACGGTATGAAGTGTACCAAAGATACTACATAACAAGATGGTCTACTCAGGCAAAAAAGTGTCCGCAGGAAGTGCGCTCTTTGCTTCAGATGGCGCTGCAGTCTGTTTTGAAGCTCTCTTTCGTTTTACCATAAGAAGAATAGGAATAGCACCTCCTTGCGTGCGCAGATCGACTGCTGTTCATCAGCAGTTCGGGTTCGTTCAGTGCGGAGTTTTAGGGTTTTTTAAATTTTAATGACCTCTCGCTTTTCATTCTAAAGTCAAATTAAACGAAGAAAACAATCACCCTTTCCTCCGGAAGAGGTTTTTTTGTCAGCGTAACCATTTTAAAAAAGCGTTCTTCCGAAAGTCATTCAAAAACTTGCTAGTTTCACTTTGATTTTTTAAACTCAAGTAGGATAACTCTGTTCGCAAAAGGTGCGCCTTTGCGAAGAGAGCGCCACCGAATTTTGAGGACACTTTTTTAATTGGCTCAAAGAGAGAAGTGGCCCCTCTTGTTATGTAGACTCTTTGAGTGTATACAGTGCGAAATGTATGATGTGTGCACATGGAAGACTTAATTTGTGCATCTGTGAAGATCAGTGTAGAGAATGCGGATGTCATGTTATGTGGTGTGCGCATGCAAAAAGACACGGTGATTGTTTGTTACGTGGACAGTTTATTTTGTGTCATACAGCCAACAACACAACAATACATCGTTTATCGAATCGAAAGGAATCGATCGAACTCGAACGGGATCGTAGAGTGATCATCCTCGACCTTTTTAGGACGTCCCGTCATAGTCGTTTCTCAAAGATTTCGTGTGACATTGGAAAAATTCCGGTTTGTTTCCGTACATGAAATGCTGGCTCATGTCGGGGGAGTACCGGCTGGCCGGGGGTTCACGTCCGTACACCTGAAACATCCACAGGGTCAGAGGTCACAGGTCAGACCGTGCCAGTGTGGTATGTCGTGGTGTAATGGTTAGTTAGGCACTTCGCCGCCGCATGCAGGAGATCTGAGTTTGATTCCAGAGTGGGGGGGGGGATTTTTAATCGAGTATCTCGGTCTTTCTGCTGAGATGTTGTATCCTTCTCAGGCCCAAGGGCTATATTTATAGAACCCAGAAGGTCGGTGAGTAGGAAAAGTAAAGAAAGTTGTATCCTTCCCGACCCGAGTTGGCCCTGACAGGTAGAGTTGAAGCCTGTCTCCTATTAAATGACCTGAATTGTGTCGATGGTTGTGTAAAAAAAAGGCCCACATTAAGAGCTGGTGGGGCACCTAGAAATCGTGTTTTGGGGTCAAATTATGCTCTTTTTTTTCTTTGGCAGTGGCGCTTTGATTGTTCATTTTCTGGAAGTTTTTTTGTTGTCGTTGAGTTAGTTTTTCTCAATATTTGTTGGGTTTTATTTGTTTTGATAGTACGGTTGCATCATCATCATCATCATCATCATCATCATCATCATCATCATCATCATCATCATCGCCATCAGTCGGCACATCATTTTAACAGGACTATTGTATTGAATAGTATAAGATGATTAAGGTGTGTTTCCTTACCTCGGCCACCACTCTGAGTGAGTGGGAAGAGTTCCCACAGCAAAGCCCCACATACTGCACGCCTATCTCCTTACAGGCCTGGGCAAAATGCTTGATCTCCGTCCTCCCACACAGCTGGGCCGGTAGGTCAACGGGAAACGCCTGCTTGCCTGGCCGTGGAAAAAACGGGATGTGATGGGGGTGAAAAGAGTTGTGGGGGTGGGGTGGAAAGGGTTGAGGGGGTGGGGTGGGGTGGGGTGGGGTGGGGAGCGGAGGGGCGGTGGTGAAACGGGGAACCAAAAGAGAGAGAAGTCGTAAATGTTGAACGACTTGGAATGTAGTTTTAGAGAAGATTTTACGGCGTTTGCAACACAAATAGGTCATATGTGAGGCAGCGTGGTGGAATCAGGCTCTCGTCAATCTTTGGGCATGTGGAGTTATTGGTGTCAACTTAAAGTTTGTTCACTTGTCTTTATTTCCATGAAAAGAATATTCATTTATCTTGAATACAAGTCGAGATATTTGATAATTAAGGAGATGGGGTCACCTGTTTTCAAAGGTAAAATTAGTGGGGAAATGGCCACCGAAGATTGGTTATTTCTTTAGCTTAAGAGTCCGTGGTAACTGAAAATTTACATTTTTTGTGCCTTTAATCAACGTTTTTAAGAAAAATCCACACAGAAATGAGTTCTTTAATGGGCATGAAAGGTGTTGAGCCAAAAAACAAAAATTTGAAAAAAAACTCACAAACATACAGGAAAAATGCAAGTTTCTTCACTTTGATTATTTTGACGAGAGCCTGATTCCACCACGCTGCCTTACATATAAGTGCTGAAGTTAGATAAGAGGTGTTACAAATAATAATAATAACAATCATGATAATAATAATAACAGTCATAATAATAATAATAATAATAATAATAATAATAATAATAATAATAATAATAATAATAATATAATAATAATGATGATGATAATAATAATAATAAATAACATTTGTATAGCACATATCCCCAACAGTAAGCTCTATGCGCTTTACACTATATTATTACCCCAGCAGACCATAGAACACTTATAAACATTCTCAGGTTCCCGGGAAGCATACAGTGCAAGCAGCTAATTAAGCGTTCAAACACTAACATACTGACAAAATCTTTTACTCTCTGTATCTGGGTACCCATTCCGACCTGGATGAAGTGAAAAAAATTCGTGTAAAGTGCCTTTCCTAAGGACACAACATCGAGCCCTTGACGGGATTCGAACCCACTAGCTTAAGGTTGCGAGTCTGAGAGCCTAAGAAAAGAAAGATGGACTACAATGGGTTTTTTAATAAGAAAGAAGGTAC